GGGATTTTACTAAGGGAATTGGTTACAATACTTGCTTACCCTCCAAATCGTGCTATAGAGCTGATTAATTAGTCCTAAATTTTTTCAAATGGTGCAAGCAACCTCAGTTTCATTTGCAAAATTATTTGTTGGTCCAATCAAGGTCTTAGAGCTCTTAATTTAAGGAGTAATAAAGTAAAGGAAGGTTTTATTAGACTTAAATGAATGATTAACCAAAATAAATAATATGATTAATTATAGTGTTTGGGTGATATGTGCTATTGAAGTTATTGTTAAAGTTTTTCAAAATGAATTAGTGGATGATCGGTTGTAAATTTTTGAGTTTTAATTAAATAAGATTTTGAAGATTAGTATCACTTTAAATTTACTAAAAAAAGTTACTTTAAACTATGTTTAACATGTGTTTATAGAATTGCTTGAGTGAAGTTTTATTAAGTTTTTTTTTTTTTTGACAAATATCAGGATTTGGTTTTCCAAAATGTTTCACTTTTTTTAGTAAAAGAAAGATTTCACTTGAGATTATATAAATCAGAAAATACTAATCCTTTAACGAAAATTTGTCATATTAATTGATGAAGTGAAGGAGAAGAATTGGTATGTGACGGCTGCTTGGGAATATAGGAAGAAAGGAGCGAAAATGATTTAGAAGGAATTGGGAATGATTAAATCCTTCTTCTTCTTCTTTTTTTTCCAATAAAGAAAAGCCGTGTCAGCGAATGATGTGGCAAGCCACGTTGTATGTCCCATCTTTGACCATATATATATTGTACATTTATTATAGGTTATACAAAAAAAAAAAAAAAATCCTTTTCAATTCTCAAATTCCTCTTTATTTAACTCAAAGTCCAAATTTCATATCTACAACTTTGAATCTTAAGTTTTTAACAGTTAAATTATCACATTTGGATCTTAACCCTTTATATTTGATTCAAATATCATTATTCTATAAATTTATATTAAAAAAGTAAAAACTAATTTTTAATTTATTAATTATTTAATTAAATTAATTCAGTTGATACTAATATTAAAATTAATATTAATTTTTATAGTTTTAATATATCTTTATGATAAAAAAATATCTTTAATTTGAGTCTTTGCACATATCAAAAGATTATTAAAAAAATAACAATCCCATTTTTTTTTTTTCACATTGACTATACAACTAAATACAAATTCAGTTTTATCGCTTTCTGGAGGTCCGCATCACTAAATCACTGGTAGCCCTAAAGCAAAATTTATTTGTCCTCTAAAACTACTGTAAGGATCTATTTAGTTTGATACATTTCTCTCAATATAATTTCATCTTGAAAAATCATTACAGTAACGTTGAATGTCAAGACTACACAAATTGTATTTCAATTCGTTTGATTAATATTTTATTAATTTATATTATTTTTTAATTCTAAATAAATTTATTAAATATATATTAATTATTTTATTTAATACGCATCAACTATTCTTAATAACAAAAGTAAACAAAATTAAAATTTTTAAAAACAATATTTCACAAACTTAACATTTCCAATTTGGCATAACAACACCCACAATCTCCGGAAACTTTTCTCCATAGACAGTCAAAGC